TTTAATTTGATTGGTATTTATCTTTAATTCATAATTAAATCAGAGATTATAATAAAAAGTTTTTTATGCTTTATACAATGACCTTCAATTTGATCAAATATTTCTTTAAACTATTATATGCAATGTCAGATATTTTAATTATGAAATATATTTATATTATGAACCAGATATTTATAATTGTTATATGTTAAATAAAAATTTAAATGCTTTAACTAAAATGTTAGTTAAATTGAATTTTATTTTTTTATATTTAGTTTTAACTAACATTATAATGCTATTTTCAGGTTATAAAACTATTATGCAATATTGAACGTAATGTTAATACTTATTTATTACAATTTTTGATGAAAATTTTTGGAATGCTTGATTGTTAGTTATTTGATTCTTTTTTATTCAATATTTTGGTCTTTTATTTAGCTCAGTTGAAAGTAAATTGGATGTACTTGAAATTAAGTCAAATGCTTTTAAAAATCCTAAAAAAAATCAATTAATTATAGTGTTAATAAGTTCGAAACTTTAAGATCAATCTTAATAAACATCTAATTTATAAATAAAAAATAAATATATTAATTATAAATAAATAATACTTGAATAATAAATTATAAAAATAATATTTTACCTGCTTCTTTGATAGGAATTAGCTAAGAAACATTATCCAACTTGCATTTTACAGATTGATATTGATAAGCAGACACTCCTGCAATAGTTTTATGCTGTGAAAAAATCATCTATTCATCAAGTATTACATTAGATTTAACAAAACTATGAATATCTGTCGATCGCATTGAATGATTAGTAAAATTACACCTTTAAAGTTATGTTTAACATCTTTGCATATTGTATATATCATTGTATTATAAGATCCTTTTTTTAGCTTATTTGGTAAATATCATTCATCTCGATAAATTTTTTTGGTATATTAGTTGTAATGAAAAAATAATTATCTTTAACATTATTTGGATGTTTTGACAAATATTTTTTAATATCTGTTACTGGTGTATATTTATTTCCTACAGTATCTGGTGATATAAAACTGATTACAGCCTCAGTATATAGATCTTTAATTTCTTTAACATAATTTTTTCATTAGATAATTCTAGTCATATTCCTCATTGTTTAATTTTTTAAACCAGGAAGCTTTTAATCATTTAACATCACTACCCCTTAAACAACATAGTAGAGACAACCAAATTCAAACTCTTTGTAAAAGTTTTTTAAGAGTATCAGTTGCTGTTGCAGGTAAGTCAAGTATAAACTTAATTTCTTTTATATCTAATAGATCTGATTGTTTATGATTTTTATTTCCTTTTTTAACAATTGCTTTTATACAGCCATCCAATATTTGATATAAACTTTTAAACTGGTATTTGTCAAATATGTTTACAACTTGTACTTTTTTAAATACTTCTGATATATCCTGCGCAATAGCACAAAGCCTAGTATAAAGTGAGGAAGCCTTATATTTCTGTCCATTTGATTTATGAACTGCAATTAAAAATTGTTCAAGTTGATCTGATAATATTTTATTATCAAGATTTATAATTTTATTAGTATATTTGTATAATTGACAAAACTTGATAAATAAAGCCATTCATTAATTTGAAGACTTGTCAGTATTTATATTTCATAATGCTTGTTGGGCTTCAATAATTTCTTCTCTAGTTGATAAAATGAACTGCTTATTAGGTTGGATTATTTTTATTTAATAGACAAATTGTGAGTCATCTAAACAAATATATTTTTTTTTATATGTAATGTAAATTTTACTATAAGCTTGAATGTGCAGCGCTTCTATCTAAAACTTTTTTTTTACTAAGTAAATCATTCTTGGGCTTGTAACAAAAGTTGTAGAGCTCATCAAGATGCAGCTAATAATGAAAGAACACTAAAATCAGTAAAGAAATTTTATATGTGAAAAAGAAGTTTTTTAAAGATTTTTCAAGAACCACCAGACCAATTTTAATGTTTTTTCACTATTAGATGCATCTTGATGAGCTCTACAACTTTTGTTACAAGCCCAAGAGTAATTTATTTAATAAAAAAAAAGTTTTAGATAGAAGTGCTGCACATTTAGGCTTATAGTAAAATTTACATATAAAAAAAAATATTTGTTTAGATGACTTGCGATTTGTCTATTAAAATAGTATAGTTAAGGCAAAGCGAAAGTGAAAAGGTTTAAAAAAATTAAACACAATTAAAATTCTGATTATATAAATATAGTTTATTATGTAATTAAATTATAACATATAATCAAAAGTGAAAAAAATAAAATGGATAAAGAAAAAAAATGTATAAAAGCACAATATGAATATAAATATAGATTTATGTATAAAAGTAATAGTAAAGGCAGTTTGATTAACATCTAGTGACATGCTTTTGGGAATTATCTATTTATTTTCTGAAGTGAAATTATAGCAAAAGTTATTAATGATCATATTACATAGGATGGCCCTTAGGGCCAAAAAGTTCTATTATGTGATCTTTGACAAAATTCTTTAAGCTTATTTAGGTTTAGATTAAAGACTATGTTAAGGTTTGGGTTTAGAAATTTTAATAGCAAAATCAGTTAAGAAAATTTTTTTGTTAATGCACAGAAGGTGGTTTATTATACAAAATCTTGAGTTACAGACAAAACAAATGATTGTTTTAAAATTTTTTGTTATGTAATGTTACACCTGATCTTGAAATCTGATTTGTTTAAAATCACGTAACAGTAACTTTTTGGTGGCGATACTGGGGTAGTTCTTTGGACCATCCCACATGCTATGATCATTGGTAACCTCTGCTATAATTTCTACTCCTCCAGGAAATAAATAATACTTATTTTAGAATAAACCCTTTATTTTTCTCAGATATATGTATGTCTAGTAGTAATAAGTATATAAAAAAAAGGTTATATAGATGGGGATAAATTAGTTTGTATATATTAAACCCACCTCATAGCAGTATCCAATTTTCAGCTTAGTTAAAATTTGATTCAATAGTTTTTAAGTCTTTTTTTTTTTTTTATTGTAAGAATATTGTAGACTTTTAACAAGATCAATCACCTACATATAAACTGTCAACTTGCCAGTTTCAATTGTAATTATATTCATTTCAAGATTCATCATATACTATTGCATTTAGTGCTTCGAACGGATCGACCAAATGGCATGTTATAATCTATTTTATTATATAGGTCATGACCCATTCCTAGGCATAGGTGACTCAACTTCATAATTAATTAATAATATCTTATTAATATTTATATTCAGTACCTTATGTGAGAAATCCACAGATTGTTTACCTCTTCTATTCAGGTTATCCATCATTATTCAAAGGATCACATACGTATAAATTTAATCAATTGGTAAGATAACTCATCGCGCAGCTATGTACCCTAATTTTATTTTATTTTTAGACTGTAAAATTTTTAAATAAATTTTTTATTAAAAAAATTTTTTTATTGAAAAAAAAAATTTTTTATTAAAAAAAAAATTTTTTAAGAAAAAAAATTAAAATCCGGGTCGGCGGTCACTAAAGGTGAATTGGTGATATGAAAACCGATAGTATAAGTTTGTGTGGCCTAATAGTCAAAACAAATATGTTTGTTTTCTAAATAAACAATTGCAATCGCGTTACAATTAGGATTAGGACTAGGATAATATAATGTTTATAAGTAAAATTTCACAAGAAACATTTTTAATTAGACCGCAGAAGGCGGCTTTCTAATTAAAATTTAGAGCTATTCTTGTTTGATTGTAAAAAGAGTGGTTTCATTTCGATTTTTACGTTACACCTGATCCTGAAATTCGATTTGTCAAAATTACAAGAGGTGGACAATTTTTGTGGGAGAGCTAGGGCGTTTTACCAAGTCAGAGATGGAGAAACCTTTTGTCGAATACTGTATACGCAACAAAAAAAAATGTCTGTTGTCCTATTCAAGAACCATTATCCGACTCATGTATAATATAACTTAAAAAATCAAAATACAACTGAAATGCCACAGAAACCTTTTTATAATTTAATTATAAAAAAAAAAAATTTATCACGTATTAAAGTATTAGATTTTAAAGGTAAATATTATTTTAAAAATCCAAAAAAAACTCGAGTTTTTAGAGTTAGAAGCAGTAATTGTCGCAGATCGTAATGGAAATCGGATTAAAATGAAATTTGTGGTTTCTATTTAACTTTCTAAAACCCACTTATACTCGTTTACTATAAATGCTACCCTAAAATTGACCCCTAATCCTAAAAAAAAAGTCAAAAAAATGCACCCAAAATTTTGCATTCTTCGGTGGCTTGTCTATTTTACTTAATACAATTTTGTTCATTTTAATCTGATTTCATTTTAATCTGCCACAGTGATTATACACGTATATAGTTATCCGCATTCTCATTACACAAATTATTCATATAAAGGTTTAAAATATTTATTGATATAATGCTAGCAATTAAAAATAATTTATATTTAGGTATAAGATATAAATAGAACACAAAGTATTGATTTGTTCTTAACTAATATATAAAATCATACAACTTAAAATTTCAATTTGAAAAAAAGTCGGAATTGCATTGTTAAGTAGAATACTAAATTAAGCATAATATAAAAATTAATTTTCTTGGCTTTTTGACTCAACAAATAACTAATGTTGTGTCATTTTTTTGTACTACAAATGCTTGATAATTTCCGAAATAATTATACGATATATCACTTAAATGCAAATAAATAATTCTTATGTTGTATTTCTTATTATTAATCATATTTGCTTATCGTTATGTTGGAATTAATAATTTAATTTAATTGTAAATGAAAGGGAAATTTAAGATGTAAAGTAAATGATAATGTAAAGCGAATGATGAATGATGAACTCGTGATTTCAAAAAATTTGAATGATAGAACAAATATAGTAAAATAGCGTATTGTTTATAAAAATTTTTTTCTTTTCTTTTTTTTTTGTGATGTAGCATATGAAAACGTGGCAACCAGATAAATAGAATCTTTGAAGAAATATAACTTTTTATAAAAACTTAAAGATTTTTTTACAAGTCATGATATTATGGACGCCCTCTATCATGTGTTGAGAAGGAGGAGGAGATGGATCTTTATTTATAATTGAACTTTCAGGTGGACAAACGGATTGAGACATGTTTGGATCATATTCCACCATTTGGGGACAATTTACGGCAATAGATGGAATGGTGAAGGGTGATTGCTGTAAAATGTTCAATTCGGTCAAGGGTGTGTATGTATGATTTTGTACTTGCTCATAATCTTTAGCGGTTTTATTTGAAAAATTGTACCGAGCTGAAGTGCTGCGTTCAGGTCTGTATTTGTAATCAGGATACTTGGCATCATGTAATCTTTTAATTTCGTCAGAGAATGTATGATATATATCTTTTTCGTCATCATTAGCACCACCCCACATAAAGCCGGCCAACCTGCTAAATGTTATTCCATCGCCTACAGAGATACACATATCTTTCGCCACCAAACCGAGCACGGTTCTGAAGGTAAAAAAGGCATTTGGAGGTCTTGCTGGCTTTGGTAGGTTTTTCGAATAAAATTTCTGGAATAGAAATTCACCTGTGTACTTTGGGGAATAAAACAACCTATCCCTGTCAAATTGAATAATAAGCTTATATTCATCATCGCATGGATATTGTTTACCCTTGGAACCAATTTTGTTGTACCATTGGTGTCCGAAAGATACATGTCCACTCATTTTTTATTTAATTTTTTAGGGAATTTTTTTTAAAAAAAAGAAATGGGGAATTGGTGTTTTAAGAATGATTTATATTTCAATTTTTGTTAGTGTTTGGAAGTACAAAGTACTGGGTACGTAAACATACACTCGAATTTATCACACTATAACATTAGTAATCAAGCAATGTAAATTGAATAACAGTATACTTTATCAACTAATCTATGCAACAATTTAGCCATTGTGTTCATATATTCACGTTTGTATAAGTTTTAATATAATTACAGCAAGTAAAATGTAAATATTCGGGGACAATGACTACTTAAATACGTTTAAAAATATTCAATAATAAACGGTTTAAAGTAACAATATATTATTTCATCTATAAGAATTAGTGCCACCATAAATATTCAACAGTGGAATTCTATTGTATTTCAATTTTTTTGGAAAACTAGAGTTTTTCGCTGCATTTTTTACAAAGATCAACAGTGTTTATGATTATTAGCTTTTATAAATTGTAATATGTAACATTTAGTTTTGTATGTATTTGATTTTTTTTAAATTTAGACTGTAAAAAAAAAAAAAAAAAAGGAATAATATAAAAAAATTTCCGTCAGCAAAATAAAGTTTTTGATATTTGGTGATTCAATTTTTTTTCGCGCGTCTGTGTTCTCGATCTGCATGATCTACATTCCTTATACTGCGATCTACATTCCTTATACTGCGATCTACATTCCTTATACTGCGAGATTTTCATCCGATTGAATTATAAATTTAGCAACTTGTTAATAAAATCCATAGTGAATAAACAAAATAAGTAAAAATTAACGTTTAACAAAAAGCATAGATTGCATGATCGTGTAATGATTGCATTTAACATAATCTTTAATAATTGCAAATACTGATTATACACTAGTGTATATGCTGTAAGTGGAAACGGAACTTAAGTGGATTTGGAATTTCCTATTTAATTAGGGTTAGTGTTAGGGTGTACATACGATAAAATCAACCCCAAAATGCTGGTTTTATATAAAAATTCCGAATCCACTTAAATTCCGTTTTCACTTACAACATATATACAGAGATATTGCTATTTCTCAAAATTTTGACTATGAAAATTTGAGGTTTTAACGAAAAAAGTTGTAAAATTTTAGCATACTAAATTAAAACTAATCTTGCCTAATGTTAAACGGGATTAATTTTGTTTACAAAAATGGTTGTAAATCATCTAATTAATATAATTAATACCCGTGTATATACTGTACACATAGTGTCCAAATAGTTATTTCCTTAATAATTTATCACTTTAAAAACTTTATTAGTTAAAGTAATCCTTACGAATAATATATAAAAAATATCAGTTTACCAGAATTTATTAATTAATTGTTTCTGCGTTTTTTTTTTGTCTTCGTTTGTCATAATATTCATGGTGCAATAATGTTTTAGCCTATTAACATTCACCTGTCAAATAGCCTACTACATTTCATGAAAATAGTATTTAGTTGATTATTATTAAATACCTTTTGATATGCACTAAATATGTCTACTTTTCAAATAATCTTGCAAGTATTCAACAAAAGTGGGATATGTTTTGTTTAGCACCAGATTCTAAGATCCTACTGGATTTATCCATAAGCCGATATTAAAAATTGCACATATTACTATATACTATGCTCTACCCTAACCTCTAACCATTAACCTTAAACTATTATATAAAAATTGATTTTATATTACACAAATCTGCAATTATTGTTATATAGTGGTGCGATATATATTATATAACATAAAGAAACAAGAAATAAGAAATACAAGCAAAAGAGAGCAGGCATCACT